GTGGGGCAGGATGTGTGGGGCAGGGTCTGTGGGGCAGGGTCTGTGGGGCAGGATGTGTGGGGCAGGATGTGGGGCGGGGTCTATGGGGTGAACCCTCAGGTGAAGCCCCTTTCTGGCCACGCCCCCCAGGAGAAAATCTCGCTGCGATTGGCTGAGCCGGAAGGGGCGGGGCTGAGCCCAGAACAGGTGGCGGCCATGTTGGGCGGCCAGGTAAACCCTCCCCCCGTTGACTCCGCCCCTTTTCACCTGGGACACGCCCCTTTTTACCTGGGACACGCCCCTTTTTACCTGGGACACGCCCCTTTTACCTGGGACACGCCCCTTTTTACCTGGGACACGCCCCTTTTACCTGGGACACGCCCCTTTTTACATGGGACACGCCCCTTTTACCTGGGACACGCCCCTTTTTACCTGGGACACGCCTTCTCCTCCCCACAGGTGCCGGAGCTCACCTGGCTCAGCCCGGCCGAGAATCAACACCTGGGGCGGGGCCTGAGGAGGCTCGAGGAGGTGGTGCAGGTGAGGGGGGCGGGGCAGGGGAGGGACCTGAGACACACCTGGGGACAGCTGGGCACATCTGGACACACCTGGACACACCTGGATCACACCTGGGCACACGTGGGGACACCTGGGGACACCTGGACACACCTGGGCACACCTGAACACACCTGAACACACCTGAGACACACCTGGATCACACCTGAACACACCTGGACACACCTGGATCACACCTGAACACACCTGAACACCCCTGAGACACCCCTGGATCACACCTGAACACACCTGAACACCCCTGAGACACCCCTGGATCACACCTGAACACACCTGAACACCCCTGAGACACCCCTGGATCACACCTGAACACACCTGAACACCCCTGAGACACCCCTGGATCACACCTGAACACACCTGAACACCCCTGAGACACCCCTGGATCACACCTGAACACACCTGAACACCCCTGAGACACCCCTGGATCACACCTGAACACACCTGAACACCCCTGAGACACCCCTGGATCACACCTGAACACACCTGAACACCCCTGAGACACCCCTGGATCACACCTGAACACACCTGAACACCCCTGAGACACCCCTGGATCACACCTGAACACACCTGAACACACCTGAACACACCTGGACACACCTGGATCACACCTGGATCACACCTGGGACACACCTGGGGACACACCTGGATCACACCTGTTCCCAGCCCTGCTCCCCTCCCCCGCAGGTGGCCGTGGCCCGGCGTGTGCAGGTGTTGGTGGACGCGGAGATGTCACACCTGAACCCCGCCCTCACCTGCCTCACCTGGGGGCTGATGTGGAGACACAACCGGGCGGGGCCCCGGCCCTGGGTGTGGAACACCTGGCAGGCGTACCTGAGGGTGAGCACACCTGGACACACCTGGGGACACCTGGGGGTGTTCTGGACACACCTGGACACACCTGGGGATGTTTCAGACACATCTGGGGATGTTTCACACACACCTGGGCACATGGGGGTGTTTCAGACACACCTGGGGGGTTTTTAAATGATATCTGGACACACCTGGGCACACCTGGGCACACCTGGGGGTGTTTCAGACACACCTGGGGGTGTTCTGGACACACCTGGACACACCTGGGGATGTTTCAGACACATCTGGGGATGTTTCACACACACCTGGGCACACCTGGGGAGACCTGGGCACACCTGGGGACACCTGGGGGTGTTTCAGACACACCTGGACACACCTGGGGAGACCTGGGCACACCTGGGCACACCTGGGGACACCTGGGGGTGTTTCACACACACCTGGGGGTGTTCTGGACACACCTGGACACACCTGGGGAGACCTGGGCACACCTGGGGGTGTTCTGGACACACCTGGGGGTGTTTCAGTCTCACCTGGGGGTGTTTCAGTCTCACCTGGGGGTGTTTCAGACACACCTGGACACACCTGGGGGTGTTTCAGTCTCACCTGGGGATGTTTCAGTCACACCTGGGGATGTTTCAGTCACACCTGGGGGTGTTTCAGTCACACCTGGGGGTGTTTCAGTCTCACCTGGGGATGTTTCAGTCTCACCTGGGGATGTTTCAGTCTCACCTGGGGTGTTTCAGTCTCACCTGGACACACCTGGGGGTGTTTCAGTCTCACCTGGGGATGTTTCAGTCACACCTGGGGGTGTTTCAGTCTCACCTGTCCCCTCCCCCAGGGCACCGAGGCGCTGCTGGCCGCTCACCTGGCGCAGGTGGGCGTGGCCGGGCTCAGGTGTGGGGTGAAGTTGGTGCGCGGGGCTTACCTGGCCCAGGAGCAGGGGCGGGCCCGGGCCCGGGGCTGCCCCTCCCCCACCTGGGACACACCTGAGGAGACCTCGGACAGGTGGGGGATGGGCGGGGGAATTCTGGGACATTTGGGGTGAATTTGGGTCATTTTGGGTCGTTTTGGGTCATTTTGGGTCATTTGGGGTCATTTTGGGTCATTTTGGGTCATTTGGGGTCATTTTGGGGTCGTTTTGGGGTCGTTTTGGGTCATTTTGGGTCATTTTGGGTCAATTTTGGGTCATTTTGGGTCATTTTGGGTCATTTTGGGTCATTTTGGGGTGATTTTGGGTTAAGTTTGGGTTCATTTGGGGCTCTTTGGGGAGGAATTTTTGTGTGTTTTGAGGAGAATTTTGGGTGAATTTCAGGTAATTTTGGGTCGGTTTTGGCTGATTTTGGGTCGGTTTGTGCAGATTTTGGCTGATTTTGGGTCGGTTTTGGCTGATTTTGGGTCGGTTTTGGCTGATTTTGGGTCGGTTTTGGCTGATTTTGGGTCGGTTTTCGCTGGTTTTGGGTCGGTTTGGGCTGGTTTT